ACCATGCCAAGGTCATCTTTTGTCTCTGCACCTCTGTACCTGACTGGAACTGGACGGTGCCTGTTTAAACCATGTGACGAACATGTGGGTGTTGGGCAGGGACTTGAACTTTCTTTTGGGTGGGGAAAACCTGGACGCTTTCAGATTCGAGTTTTTCCAGATGTGCCAATATGACATCTCTAATAAAATGGAACTTTGAAGAAACTCAAGTCTTGGAGTCTTCTTTCATTGGGGGTCTTACTTGGAACCCTGACAAACAGGACAGGATAACCTTGGAAGGAGGTTCTTTCAACTTCCCTTTGGTAGAATATACCATAAAGAACGGACCTGGCTAGAATTCATCTATTCAAGGGCTTATGATTTCCTTGAAAGAATTTTTAATTCTACCAGAGTATCCTTCTAGACCATGGGTGTCAAACTCGCGACGTCACGTTGTCGTCATGTGATGTATTACAACTTTTTTCCCCTTTGCTAAACCGGGGGTGGGCATGGCCAGCGTGTGACACACCTGGTCCATGGGTTTGACATCCCTGTTCTAGACCATCTTTCTGGAGTCGTGAGGTAGTCTCACCTACCTGGAATATCCATCTTAGAAAGTGCTGAAGGGACAGTCCTCTTCCTTCTCATGGTTACCATTTTATGGGATGCTACAAAGTTCCTCTCTTGCTCAGTGTACACTTTAAGTGAACTACTGGGCTACTCACTGGGTAGCTTAGATGGACATTCCATCAGTGCACGGACAATACTCCGCTCAACTCTTATTTTCTATCTGTAGTTTCCAGGGAAGTCGAAAGACTTTTAGGTTGACAGATGAAAATAGTTTGGACTGAACAAACTACAACTTAAATCCAAAATAAAGGTAACATGGATACATTTCAATAGTATAAAGCTCACAGTTGGATTTAGACAAGGTGGCTCTCCTTGGACAGATGATATTTGGGACTTCTCTTTAAGTTAACCCTAAATGGAGAAGCTTTGAGTGTGTCCTTTGGCAGAGGACAGGGCTGTATCTAACTCCACAAAGAGGCAAAGCCAGGGTACATATCAGAAACATACCTTATCTAGCTTGCTTATCATCATAAGTTTGATGAATAAAATGAACACGTATATTGCAATATAATGATATAAACCCTGTTCATTCATAATTGTGTCCTGAACTGGACACAAGAAGGACACAGTTTGTGTTGTAACTTTACAATACATTTTACTCTTTTGGCTCCCCCATCCCCCAATCCATTCAATAATTTCCACTGGGAGAGAGAGGCAAGAAACCAAAGGGAGCCACCAGAGAACTTTCTATTCTGAGAGTCCATGTGCAACAAAGAGCGAATGTCCTGAATAGCGGCTGATTTCTCATTGTGTTTGGCTGAATTATTGCTTCCTGCTGAGTAAGCAGAGGCTGCTGCAAAGACCGTAGAAGGAATATAAAAACTCCAATTTCTCCGGAAAAAGGAAAAGGGGAGAGAACTAACAGAATGTCGGCAGGCAAGTTCAAAAAGTGAGAGCTGAAGGAGAGATTTCAGGGTTCTCTCCACAACACTCCTACAAGCAAGCACAGGTAGGAATTCCAAACACAAATCAATAGATTTATTGGGGAAGAAAAGCTTACAAAGAACTCCAGTAACTGTTGTACATGAGAAGGAAGTGATATTTACAGTGAAATTAAAGTTTAATTTTTGTATGTTTTCTCCCTTCTACACAGTGTTTGAATTCATTCTCTCAATCAGAGGGATGGTTTTCTTCTACATCTCATTACAGGCTGTTTGCTTCTAACCTAGTCAGAAATGGTTTTTCCACCACTTTTCACCAAGTCTATCCCCATTTCTTCCTTCTAGGAAGAACTTAGTGCTTTTCCATTCCCTTTCTCCTAGCCAGGAGTTTTCTCTCAAACCTGAAGAATTCTCCTCTTCTCCCTCTGCCCATCTACTCATCCTAAAGCAGGAGTCCCCAATCTTCAGACCATGGCTCACTACCGGCCATGGCCTATTTGGAACCAGGCCAGATGAGAGGTAGGCCAATGCATGCACACATGCTCCACTCATGCCCCAAAGGCTTTTCTTCTCTCGTGTGAGTGGAGCTGAGCACACACATGCAGTCCAGTTCCCATCTCCCCGCACCCAGTTGGGCTGCCAAGCCACCTTTCCCAATGTCCAAAAGCAGACCAGTGAGAGCAGAGGCTGAATGGGGTGAGTGCACCCTGCTCAGCTTTGCTGACTCACTGAGGCTGCCTGTGCAGGACACCTGATCTGCTTTTGAAGTGTTGGGCAGCCTCAGTGAATCTGAAGGAGCACGAGAGCATGCCTCCAAAGGCTCCCCTTCTCCATGCCAACGGGCGAAAGGGTTCAGGGGAACAATCTCACATTGCTTCAGGCCTTCCATCTCTTTGCAAAAGCTTTGGGTGCGGAGAAGCCTGAAGGAGCATGAAAGTGCACCCCAAAGGCTCCTCTTCTCTCTTGAGCGAGTGGAGCTGTTAATGCACGTGTGCACCCTGGCCTGGTTCCCCTCTCCTCCTCTGCGGGGAACTGCTGTCCTAAAGGAAAAGGAAGTCCTTGCTTCTCATCCCATGGAAACAGGAGGAGGCTGCAGGCAGCAATCATCTCCAACCTTAGTAGTTCATATAACCACAAAGGCATTGCTTGGGGTAGCATTTATCTTCTCTAGTTTACCATTGGCTTATGTTGATGTGCTAAGGACGATAACATTCAAAAGTTGATAAAGAGTTCTCCAAACTCAGAGTTGAATCTCTGTTGGAAATGAGATTGTTTGGGATGCTTTCAGGTCAAAAAACCTAACTGTGGGACAACTGGGTGATCTCTGCTATGGAAGGGAGGCCCCTACAAGAGATGAGATGACCTTCATGAAAAGGTCAGTGGAAAGTAGTAGAATATGCAGGATTCTGACATGTGTTAAATCAGCAATCTAATCCAAGGATACGAAATCCCAAGGACTATATAGGGAGATAAGGGGATGCATCAGACTGATTGATTTGGTAATTAAAATTTTGGCAAAGCAGCAGATTTGCCAAAAAGAAGCCAGGAGTCTTAAATAAGGTCCAGCTGGGTAGTTGCGATGATGCAACCATAAAAATTCCTTGTCTGGGAAGAAGGAATGTATAACTGGCCCCTCTGATACTATTCTCCCTGATGCCAAGAAAAAGGGGAAGATAAATCTCTAAAGATCATCTATCTGAGAGCCAAGGAAAGCATTCTGCTGCTGCTACTGCACAAGAATCTGTTTGCTGTGCCTTCTGGTTCCCAGCATATCACAGCACACTGTTCATGGTAGATGTGAGAGGGAGCTTATAGGGGGCAAAATATTCAGACCTGCATGAAAGTCCATCAGTTTCCTTGCTCTGTGAACTAGGAATGTGGGTGAGTAAATATTAGCTTCCCAGAGTTCTTGAGAGTCAAAAGGCATACAAGTTTAAATATTTCTCATAAAATGGAGGGAAAAGGGGATAAAGATAAAACCTGGGAATGGCTTACCACTAGAATATTAAAATAAGAAAACAAAGGCTTGATTTTGGCTGCTCAAGAGCAAGCTATTCAAATTAAGGCCAGAACTGGGGGGGGGGGGGAATCAGCAAATGATTCAAAGTACAGATTGTGGAAAGAGGCAGAAGAAACAGTAGATTACAGCCCATGCAAGAAGATTGCACAAACTGATTGTAAACAACATAACCCAGAAAAATTACAACTAAAAACAATAATTTTGAATTGCTGTGTGGTGCTTTCAAGGAAGCAAGGGAATTGCATAATGGAATTGTCATGCATAAACCCTGCATTCCTCCAAATTAATTCATAATCCTAAACAACATATCCCTTTTCTAAGAAAGAAAATATCATGTTACGAGTATCCAGAAAAAGGTATACTGCTCCGGGGCTATAAAAGAGAACGGAGAAAGAAAAGAAAGGAACTTACAGCTTTGGGCTTGAAGGGAGGCTGGATTTCTTTCTGCTCGAGTTTGTCCCAATCAATGTATCGGAAAAAGGCATGCTCCTTGATATCCCGTTCTCCTTCCGGGCCGCACCCCAACCGCTTAGCTGGATGCTTGGTCATGAGCTTGGGAAAAGGAAGAGAACATGGTTCATCTGTCATCTTTCAGAATGAGAGCACCAGGATAATAACGAACATCCTCAACCCCCAAACCCCTTATTTTCTACAATATACCGTAATCTGACCCTCTCCCTCCCTCCCTCTCCCTTTCTTTCTCTCTCATCCCTCAGGGGAGCCCAAACAGCTTCTCTTGGACAGACTGCAGAGGAGGGCAAATTAAGTCCAAAAGAGATGCTTAATCAGTCAAAACCAGCATTGTCAATTGTATTCTGAAACCTCTAATACAGCTACCGCCTGGGAAACGACAGTAATTGAGACCAGCATTTCTGTCACTAAACAATGTGACCATAAAACACAACATCTCCTGACCACATCACCTAGTGACAGAAATTAAGGTCATTCTGATTTTTCTGTCATTCATTGAATCCCACAGGATCAGAGAACTGGAGATTGCCATGAGTTGGAGAGAACACGTGCACATGGCCTTGGGAAGAAGGTGCAGAGTGACCAGAAGCTACTCGCATAGGGCCGGGCAGTGGGCACATATGGTCAGCAGTGGGAGGAAGAAGATGGTGAAAGTCAGCCAGAGAAGCAGGGGCGGTGGGAGCTTTGTGGTGTGGTGTCAGGGGAGCTGGCTATGGTGTGAGGTTCGAGGTGGTATTCATTGTTGGTGCCGCCAGGAGCACTGGGGCTGAGTAGGGGCTTGGCACCTTCAGCAGTCTCAGCTGGTTGCTGCTGCCCCTGAGCCTTTCCATCAACCCCAGAGGCCATCAGTGCGGCCCCCACCCCACATGCACACATACATGACTGCATTTCAGGCACTTGGCAACTGGTTTGCAGCATTCAGCAGTCACACAATTGCAATTTACATGTTTTGTGGGTTTCTGATCCTTAAGGTCAGTTTTTGGCAAAAAATGCCTTTAGAAGTACATTGATTTGCTTAATGACTGTGCCATGCACTTAAAGACTGCCATTAAAAAAGTCATAAAATCTAGACTTATGACCATTATGACGTATGATGGAAATTTTTGGCTCCATTATCATTAAGTTGAGGATCATCTGTAATTCTCCTTTATTATAGGCCGGGCTACGCTAACAGAATCTTTCAAGTCTGAAAGTACAAATCTCCCACCATCACTTTTTACCATCTGAATAGTTAAGAAGGATCTTTTCTAAGGTTTTTTTTCTCTGCCTGTTACTTAGTTGCAGCCTCCTCTCCCTGCTCATTGCTTAAACCAGTGATGGCTAACCTTTTTCCCATCGCCAAAAGCGGGGGAGCACAGGGGGGTCGTGTGCAGGCGTGCCCACACCCATAATGCTATGTGCACGCCCCGCCCCCAACTTTTGGTGCATGATGGACCCGTTTTTCGCCCTCCCCAGGCTCCAGAGGCTTTCAAGGAGCCTAGGGAGGGAGAAAACAGTCGCCCCCACCCCCCTGGAGGCCCTCCGGAGGCTTCAGGAGGCTTCCCTGAAGGCTCCGGAGGGCAAAAAATGGCCCTATGGGCAACCTGGAAGTTTGGGAATAGACTTCTTCCTATGGACCTCGGATAGGCAGATGACGTTGCTTAATAATATTAAATGTTGTAGGATGGAAGCTATGCGGGTCCATTCCCGAATTTCCGGTTTGCGGAGAGCGAAAAACAGCCGAAAAAGAAGGCTGAAGTCAGCTGGCCAGCATGGGCATGGTGCTGGAGCTGACAGAGCAAAGCCTCGTGCACCCTAACAAATGTCTCCATGGCATAGGTTCGCCATCACGGGCTTAGGCTCTACCTCCCTCTTCCAAGATTGTTCTCATATTCTGTCAGGTTTAGCCCAGGAACAACATCACACAATCCAGCCAAAGTTCACTTGTTCACTTGCTAACACCATAAAAAGAGAATCGTGTCAGACCAACCTAAGCGACTGTGATCTAATGGATGAACCCTGGTAGATTTTAGAGAGTGGCTATCCTAAATCTCTTCCTCTTCCCATGATTCAACTCCAGTGTGTGCTGTCTGTCGTCTCACCCCGTCTTTGGAAGGTGCTCCATTCTCCCTGGAGAACCTGCTGTGTTACTGTAGAGTGTCATATCACTTCCCCTTCTTAGACACATTCCATTACCTACTCCATTACAAGCACTGCTGCATGAATGGTCCTTAAGGGAGGACTACCTGTAATTAATGGAAGATCCAGAAGACTGGGGTTATCTGGATAAAGTGGCTCTTAGGGAGGATCGGGCAGACTGGATTTTTGGTTAAATTGCAGTTTTCATGTAGTCTTCAACAGCAACACCAAGGAAAGCCCATCATAACAATCCAATCTTGAATGGATGAGGCTCCTAGAACCTCCTACTCTGAAGTGGACAAAAACTCTTCTGGCCCAGATGTTTATGGTTTAGCTGGTTGCTGAAAAATATTCTGCTGATATAACATGGAAAGTGATGGTGTTTTGTAGCTCTTGTCACCACAATTTAAGTCGGAGGATGAGGTCCTAGGGCTCCATCATGTTCACTCTTGAATCTGAAACCACCGGTGCTCTACGTGTTGCTTCAGCTGCTTCATCTCAGTAAATTAGGGAGCCCCTAAGACTGGTACCCAGAAAACCATCTTATCCTGCACCCTCATTGTCTTGGTGTTGCAAAGCTCAATCAGGCACGTAGGAGGAACTGTCGGACCTCTCGCAAACAGCCCCAGTGTTAGGCCAGATGCTGCAAAGTTAAACGAGATGCCCAAGGAAAACTTCAGTCTTGACTGAAATTTCAGGAAACTGCTCATAATCTTATATTTCAAATTTTATTTTATAGCACTGGGGAAATTTGTTTCTAGCCATCATCCTCAACTGGCGAATTGACCAGTTAACCATCATTTAAAAAGTTAGGATTAGAACTGGAAGGGCTGCTGGTCCGTGCACACAACCCCTCAGCTACTTATCATTTGAACACATAGAAACTCACATTTTCAGAAGTTCTACACAAACCCTTCTGGCATTCCAAGAGGGAGATTGTTGAAAGGAACTAGAACATAGAACAATGGAGTTGGAAGGGACCTTGGAGGTCTTCTAGTCCAACCCTCTGCAGCAGACCCTATACCATTTCGGACAAATGGCTGTCCAGTCTCTTTTTGAAAGCCTCCTGTGATGGAGCACCCACAACTTCTGGAGGCAAGCTATTCCATTGGCTGATTGCTCTAATCATTAGAAATTTTCTCCTTTGTTCTAGGTTGCTTCTCTATTTGGTTAGTTTCCACCCATTGTTTCTTGTCTTCCTTTTTAGTGCTTTGTAAATTAGTTTGACCCCATTGCCTTTGAAAAGCCTCTCAAATATTGGAACACTGCTATCACATCTCCCCTAATCCTTCATTTCATTATACTAGATATACCCAATTCCTGCCACCGTTCTTCATATGTTTTAGCCTCCAGCTCCCGCATCATTTTTGTTGCTCTTCTCTGCATTCTTCCCAGAGTATCAACTTCTTTTTTATATTGTGTTGACCCAAACTGGATGCAGATTCCAAGTGTGGCCTTACTAAGGCTTTGTAAAGTGGCACTAACACTTCAGGTTATCTTGATTCTCTCTCTGTTTATGCAACCTGGGATTCAGGGGTGGGTTCCGGCCACCATTACTACTGGTTCGGTAGTAAAAAAAAAAAACTGCGCTCCACACGCATGCACATTTTCATTTAAAACAATCTGCGCATGTGAACAACATTAAAAAAGGAATAAAAATTACATTTTTAACTGAAGATTGTTCTGCGCATTTGCAGAACAAAAAATCAAAATGGCACTGCTGATCCTAGTACAGTCACGTGTCCCTCTGAGTTATTACCTATTCAGCCGAACCGGACTGAATAGATAGGAACCCACCTCTGCTAGGATTGCATTGGCTCTTTTGGCTGCCACTGCACACTTCTGACTCATATTTAAGTGATTGTTCACTAGGAATCAAAGATCCCTCTCACAGTGACTGGCATTAAGCCAAGTTTCATCTGGTCTGTACCTATACAGTTTTTTTTTCTTGCCTTACTTTGATCAAAATCTTACTTTTCATCACTGGAGATTTTTAAGAAGAGAACGGACCAGCCACTTGTCTGAAATTGTCTAGGCCTCCTGCTTGATCAGGGGGTTGGAGTACACCTCCAAAGTCCCTTCTGATCATGATGATCATGATGAATAGTAGCATTATCCATACTGAATTTCATTTTGTTAGTGATCGGGAGATCAGTTGTGTACAGGGTTGATGGTTTCAGTTGCATGCACTGTCAGGCCTGCAGCCATCTTTTATTTTGGATCTTTGACCTGCCACACTTTGTTATTCTACTATGCATTTTCTATTGTGGGAAAATGGGAGGGGGGATTGTACGGAGTTAGATACTATGTAGCCATAACAAAATGATTTCTAGAAAGCCAAGGTCATCCTTTGTCTCTGTACCTCTGCACCTGACCGGAATTGGATGGGTGGAACTGCCAGCATGGCAGTGGGAGATTGGACCATGGGATGGACTTGTGGGCGTGGGGACAAGATCTTGAACTTCCAACTGGGTGGGGAAAACCTGGAAGCTTTCAGATTTGGGTTTTCCCAGATGTGCCAACGTGGCTCTCTTCATAAATTGGAACTTTGAAGAATCCTTTGCC